GGAATAAACAGGCATGCACACCAACATGTGTCTTCTCTCACCCTCCCTCTTTCTCACCTGTTGGCAATTTGCTAACCTCTGTTACATTTAAGAAATATGGCAGCTAAGAAAACACACTGATCATGACTCCCCTTTGTTTTTACTGTTCTTTTTACAAACAAGGACTGGTACATTTGCGGAAAAGGAAAAGAGATAGGATATGAAAGAAGCAGACTAAATGGACAATCCCAAGTCATCCAGGAGAGTTCTTTGGCATCAGCAGCAACCATGCTTACCTGGACTTGAGCAAGGCCTTTGACATGGTCCCCCACCACATCCTTATCTCCAAATTGGAGGGATATGGGTTTGATAGTGGACGACTCAATGGATAAGAACTTGGTTGAAAGGCTGCAGACAGAGGGTGGTTATCTCTGGCTCTATGTCCAGGTGGAGGCTGGTATCGAGTGGCATCCCCCAAGGATCTGTCTTGGGACTGGTGCTCTTTAACACCTTTATCAATGACATTGATGGCAGAATCAAATGCACCCTCAGCAAGTTTGCTGACAACACCAAGCTGAGTTGTGCGGTTGACACGGTGAAAGGAAGGGATACCATTCAGAGGGACCTTGACAGTCTAGAAAGGTGGGCCTGGGTGAACCTGATGAGGTTTAACATGGCAAAGTGCAGAGTTTTGCACTTGGGCCAGAGGAATCCCAGGCATCCGTACAGGCTGGAAGGAGCGATCCTTGAGAGCAGCCCTGTGGAGAAGGACGTGGGGGTCTTGATAGATAAAAAACTGAGCATGAGTTAGCAGAATGCCCTTGCGGCTCGGAAGGCAGATGGTATCCTGGTCTCCATCAAAAGAGGAATGGTCAGCAGGGACAGGGAGGTGATTGTCCCCCTCTGCTCTGCTCTTGTGAGCCCCCATCTGGAGTACTGCGTCCAAGTGTGGAGCCTCAACTACAAAAAAGACAGAGAGCTGTTGGAGAGGGTCCAGAGAAGGGCCACAAAGATGATCAGGGAACTGGAGCACCTCTCCTACGAAGACAGGCTGAGGGAGCTGGGCTTGTTCAGCCTGGAGAAAAGAAGGCTGTGGGGTGACCTCATTCCAGCATTTCAGTACCTCAACGGAGCCTACAAAGAGGAGGAGAATCAACTCTTTGAAAGGGTAGAAAACTGCAGGACAAGGGGAAATGGTATTAAATTGAGGGAGGGGAGATTTAGGTTGGATGTCAGGGGGAAATTCTTTACAGAGTGAGTGGTGAGGTACTGGAATAGGCTGCCCAGAGAGGTTGTGGATGCTCCATCCCTGGAGGTGTTCAAGGCCAGATTGGATGGGGCCCTGGACAGTCTGGTCTAGTATTAAATGGGGAGGTTGGTGGCCCTGCCTGTGGCAGGGAGGTTGGAGCTTCATGATCCTTGAGGTCCATTCCAACCCTGGCCATTCTGCGATTCTGTGATGTCACAGAGGTCCTTTTCACAAACACATCAGGAACATCACTGTTTGACAATATTGTCTGAAGACTCTGTCACATTCTGGTAAAGCTGGACATGGTACAAATTAATTTCTTTAGAGATGGCAAACTGCTCTTGTAGGATGGTTTAAGAGCCCTAGGAAATTAAAAAGTTGGATGGAAACACATTTGTACAATATGAATACATCCTTCCACCATTCTGCATATCACCACTACAGTTCTTAACAGGGATTTCCTCAGCAAACAACATATGCAGAGATAATAACCTCCCTGCTGATACTGGCAGATACCCTCCTTTCTTATGAACTCAGTTTCATCCACGCATGCAACAGGGAGTGAAATGATTATTTTAACATACATTTTTTTTTTTTCCTTTCACATCATTCACGAAGTATGCACAAATTGGAAGAATGCCAAATTGTTTACAGAAGATCAGAGATGATTTGAGCCAAAATCTATCAGATGAAGTGCCCTCAAACTTTGGGGGTTTTCTGATGTAGCTATGACTCCAAAAGCCATGACTCAGTCCTATCTCTGCACCAGAATGAGCGCCAAAATGAATGTTAAGGATAAGCCCTGTACTACGCTGTACTGTGAGTTCCCACTGAGTGCTAGACATGAGAAATCTCCCTGATTCTTTCAGTGTAAAGCTTCCAAGATGCAGGTAATGAACATCATAAATTTGAGCTGAGAAATTTTCTACAAGTGTTCTTCCTTCAAAAATCTCACTAAGATCCTATCTCCTTCCCCTTCCAGACCACCCACAATTACAACCACAAGCCACCCACATGCCAGTCACTCCATCATCATTAGAGGTCATCTGTCATTCTCAGTTTCATTCTAAAAGCACAGTTGCCAAGACAACAAACCACTTTAAACAGATGCTTAATGTCACAGATAGAATTCATATAGTTAGAATTAATATTGACATTTTTAATATGTTTACTCCCTACTGAAAGCCTGCATAATTTGTGAATCTTTGCTATATATGTACCAAAGGGGTGGCTTTGCAGAGATATATGGACATCAGACATTTGAAGGAAGGAATTCTGAGTTGAAGAGATCAAAGGGAGGCCCTTCACTGGCTCTGGCTGAGCAATGTGGTACCACGGGGTGTTTATATAAAACCCTCAAGCTAGTGTCATCACCCAAAATGAAGAGAATATTGTAATGACATTTCTAGTACTTTCTACTTAAATTTTTACTTCTTTATACCTTCCCTCCACCCCCTCACTCCCCCCAGATCATGCTATACACATATTGAAACAGCTAAGCAGATAAGTGGCAAGGATAAGCAGATAAGTTTCAAGTGCATGAAAATAACAGTATTTATCCTCAGCCATCTACTGCTAATATTTTTCTTTAAGTCCTCTAAAGACTAATGCTTTCCTGCTGAGAGAGCTGAAATCTTCACCTATGCTTTTATCAACACTGGCTTTGATCATTTTTACCTTCTCAAACTTATCTGAGATTCGTTCACATGCAGCCATTATAGGTGATCATCTATTCTCACCACTGAAGATACACATCTGTAACCTTTATCTTCTCTTGTACACTGACAACATTATTTGAAATGTTCTTTTTTTCACTCAGCTCCATTCTCAGTAATCAGCTCCTATGCCTCCAGATATCGCCTTTGAGGGGAGACAAATGTGTGATCAAGAATTCATTTTTACAATTAATTTATTTTTAAATTTGAAATACTTTGTGATGTTGGTCATGATATACATGTGTCTTCGATTGACTCCACTGTATTATTGCTGTTTATTGCTTCTGTCATCTTTGATTTCCTCTTCTGTTGCAGCTCTCACTTGTTAAAGATTTTCTTAATTTCAGACCTGTATACTACTACTTACACATCTGCTTACCTTTAGTCATCTGTGTATTCCCATTGATTCCAGTGAGAATACAAACATACTTTAAATTAAGCACATGTGCAAGATTTTTAGAGTTAAATCATCAGAAATAAAGTCTACTTATTATTTTTTACCAGCTTCAACAGCTAGCAGCTTCTGCAGGTGGCTAAACCTGCAGAGATTTAAAAGCCATTTTTACTGAAGAAAAGACTGTAGGTCTAAAATCAGTAAGACTTGAGGAGAGGTCTTGACAATATGAAGAATGTGATTTCTTATGGCAATAATAGTGGTATGAGGTTTCATAGCAAGAGTTGTTCCAAGACAGTAGATCTGGCAACAACTCAACATTTTACTCTCTTTCCTGGAGGCAACATTCAGATCAGATACGGTTTTCCTCCTTTATATGGATCATTGTTATCAAAATGATGAGGCAGGGGGTAAGGGATTGTAATTTTTTATGGGAAACACTTTCAGTGTAACTGGTGCTGTCTTACTTGGTAATCAGAGAGGACTTCTGATTTTTAAATTGCTGAAAAACAAGCACTTGAAGGACAACAGAAGTTTCTGAGTAAAGATTAGGTGAAAAATCAGGTTTAAAAGTCATTTGTAGTGGGAAGATTGACTACATAATTACAATTTATTTTTCTTATTTCTGTGTACTAGTTTCATATTTAAAATGTTGCAGTGAGTACAGGCAACAGCTCAAATTTCAGTCTGCATTAAGTAGCGTTGTAACTGCTCTTCAATTAAAAAAAATAGAAGTTATAAGTATCAATCATGTTCCCTGTGATATTTCAAATTATTTGAATGAATTTTAACCATTACAATTATAATCACTAAAATGATTTCAAAATTCACTGATAGTGCTGCTACATATGACTGTTAGCAGAGTGATCTGTAAGAGAAAATGAAAACTGTAGGAAGATAATCTAGTGACTTCATTTTAATACAACTCTTCATCACTGCTCAAGTGAAACTTGAAAAACTTGTTTCAAGATATATGAAAATTAACTAACATATTTCATTCCACCACAGCATAGGTCTTATAATACTGACAGTCCCAAGGGACAGAAATGGTGAGCTGCCGCCATCTGCAGCTGCACAGCCAACATCTGTGTTACTTATTCAGTCTGGAAAACCTGTATGAAGGAGCAGGATCAGAGGGCAGCTCATATAAGGGCAGATCCCAAGAGATGGGAGGTTGAACCCTACACCCAACTCATCGCTTAGTTTTCTACTGGGGCTTCTCTCATCCTCAGAGGCCAAGGAAAATGCACTAGCTATTATGGGATCTGTTGGGAATAGAAAACCAAAAGCCAGAGGAAAAGAGACAGAAAAGTAGAAGGAGCCAAAAAAGTGATGTTTCCCATGAAAAAAAGACCTCAGGTCGGAATTTTTTGTCTGCACAGATGAAATCACAGCCTTGAAAATCTTTAAGTTAAATATCTGATCAATTTCTCTGCTAATTTAGAATTATGGTGGAGTGTTTTCTTGGTTCCTATATTCTGTAGTTAATAATTCCCTTATTTTTTTTATTAAAAAAAAATAAAAAATAAAAGACCTCCTGTATGATAACTGTTGAGTTAGGGCCTGAACCGCTGATCAAGCACCTGGGAAAGGACCTGTCAGACCAAGGAGCACAGGTGAAGGCAATTCAACTGTGTGACTAGAAGGCTGGAGGCTGGTTGCACCTCTCTTAGACATCATTTAAGGGTTGACTGCCACTGGGGAAGGATCTCTAGTTGGAGCTTCCGCCCTTGTTGAGTTTTCATGCAATCTTTGGAAATTGGTGAGCACCTTTCCTTTGTGATACCATTCCATTTGTGTTTGTTCTTTTGCTACAACGCTCCTGTAACACCATTCCACTGTATTGACTTTTCTGATTGTTGCACCTTCCTTTCTACTTTGCTTTTAAACTATCAGTATATAATAACCACCGTTATGAAAGGTGGTCAAGAAAGATCATAGAGGAGAATACGCTTCAGATCCAGGGTCACAAGAAATTTTCTTACAGTCAAAATTCTTCCTTCTCATTTCTGATGTCTTGCAGCTGAGGTGCTAATGAGTAGTATGATCTATTTTCTTTCCAGACCATCTTTGTTATATATGATAGATTTTTCTCATCTTTTTTAATGTGAGCTTGCTGGATATAAACCATCCTTGCTCTCTATGATATGTTCTAAACTTAGACAAAAAGGTAAAAGTATGCCTAAACAAGCTGGCCTATGAAATAATAAGAGAAAATAAACTCATCTGCTTAGAAATCTCTTTTATTACTTTTCTTTTCTTTCTTTTTTTTTTTTTTTTTTTTTTGGCCGTATGTCTTTCTCTCTTTTCAGTTATGTCACAGTGGATTAGGGAATAACAAAGTGAAATATATTCATCTCAAATGGTAAGTAGGGTAAGTGGTGTTACCAGCTGTTTTCCTGTGATGGGAGGGGTGTGGGAGGTATTCTTCTTCACTGCAGCATTTGTCTATGTCATGTATGAGGGAAGAGCAGTGACTGTTTCCAAGATATTAGGTAGTACCTGAAAATATTCAGCTCCTTTGAAAAGTCTCTGCAGCCTATTTCTTCATAAAATTCATCTTTATCAAGGCCCAAGAATTTTCTTTTGTAGTGTCTCCAGGAACTGTCCATAAGACAAGACATTCAGAGCAACCAAGACTATGAAAATGCACATAGAAGTACACATGGGAAGCATTCACAGGAATTTTAAGGGTTAGCCATTTTCACACAACATTATATTATTATTTACTATATGATCAAATTGAAATATGAATTTGTAATAGCAGCTGCAGCTTCAAATGGGGAGTGCACTGCTTTCCAAAATTACTCCTCCTTAAAAAGGTGTAACAAATAGTGCACTGTGTAATCTGAACTCTTACAAACTGCTGTTAGCAAAGTATGACTCTAATAAACAACATAATTTCACAGATTTTTTGAGTAGGTTTGTAAAAAAAAAAAAAAGTGTGTGTACGTATGTATATGCGTATATGAAATGAGATAGCTCATCTCAATTTCTGAGGAAAAAGATTAAGATGGTGGATATTCAGCTGGCAGTAGTAAGACTAAGTCCATATGGAACACTTTCATGATTTGGTTGAGGGTTTCTGTACTACTGCGTTCCTGTTTCACTGTAAGCAAAACAAAACAGTGACAAGTCAGTCATACATTCATTCAAGTGTTTTACTCTTTCCCTTTAATCAGTTACTTTGCCAGAAAAATTGTGGAACATCCAGCAGATGACATAACTGTGAATAAATAAATATTTATTCAAATCCCCTACTTGCAGTCACTTCCCAGTAACAAAATACCAGAGCCAGCTGGATTTCTGGAAAGCAGGATGCATCCAGAAGTTTTGCTAAGTTATGCAGAATTATGCCCATTTATTTAAGCCTTTGGAAGTAGATGTGTGTGTATGTAACTGTGTCTACCTGTGTGTGTCTATCTGAAGGCATAGGTTCATAACCTGTATCACAAACCTCATGGACTTTACTAACAAAATTTATCCTGAGTTTAAGAATATGTAAGATGGTCTTATGTGGATATTAATTTTATATAACTGGTGTACATTCATTTATAAGAGCTGAAGCGATTCTACTATTTGTATGTTTGACATGAGAAAGCTAGATAGAAAGGAGCAAACTTCTCAACCTCTTTGCTAATTATTTATTGTGATACAAGACACGATGAAAATACTGCCAATCACAACTCTTGCATTTTTTTATAAGTCCTGTAGCAAAAAAAACCAACTTAATCAGACAAGATAATCCATGTCTCTCCAAATACTTCTGAGATATTTTGGAGTTTGTTTGTCATCAGAGATAAATGGGAGAAGCTGCTACATTTCTACACCCAGCAGTAGAGAAATAAAAAAAGCCCCGAGCTTTTTTTTTTTTTTAATTGCTACACTGTGGTATGCTATCTTTCACAATGCAGGCCAACATAAAAGATAGGGGAACCTTGAAGCAAGGTGATTGGCAGACTTCTATGCCTGTTTAGTGTCTAAGCCAGGAGTCTAGCTTGGGAGAAATGCATCTTCATGAACTTAAAAAGCCAGTGGAAAGACCTATTTTTGGACCTGTTTTTCCTTTTTTTTTTTTTTTTTTTTTGTTGTTGTTGTTGTTGTTGTTGCAATACAGGTCTCACAAGAAGCCTTCACTTGGCTTTACAAAGGAAGCCTCATGGACAAGGAATGCAGGGAAGGTAACTCCTATTCTTGTGGCACTGTTAACCTATGGTGTACGCACCAACCTTGCTGAGTGTCTAAAGAGTCAATCTGTCTTGTTTAGCATATACAGTTTCAGACATCATTGCAAGCAGAAACCTGGGAATCTGGGCACAGTATTTTTGCAGAAATCCTGATCTTTTCCCTCGGTTTCTATTCCTTTATTTTAGGACATTACAAGATAATAGTATAGCATGCTTCAACTTGAAATATTAGCTTCCCACTTCTAATTCATGAATATTTACTGAAAATTTATCAGGGCAAATGTACATCTAATGAATTGGCTCGACTTCACTATCTTTATTTTAGATTCTCGTGAGTTAATGGAAAACACAGCAGACTTGAATTGTTTTTCTTTTTAATCTAAAGATATTATTTGTTTTGGCTTAAAGGGAATTGTGAAAAATGCTGACACACTTGAAAAGAACAAACTTTAAGTGCTTTCTGAGGATAACAAATGAACCTTAACAGTGAGATTTTGCTGTTTGTGTGGCTCTAAAATCACAATGTAGAAGTGCTTTACTGTGATCTAAGTCGAAGGGTGTAAAATTAGTTACATGTCCAAATGTGTAATCCAAAATGATATACAGTTAAAAATGGCTAATACATAAGGAAATAATTATTCTCAAAATCCAAAAGAATCAGCTTATACTCCCATCCAAGATTGAGTGACATCACACACCATGAAACAATAATATCTAACAAAACTTGTTCACTTCAACAGAAATTTTAAAGTATATTCAGAAAGACTTCCTCATCACTGCTGCGTAACTTCAGTTTGACATCCTGTATCTGAGTTGCTTGTTTTTTGTTGTTTTTTTTTTTTTCCCCACTTCTTGTTCTATCACACTGACCAATAGCTTTGTTTTTCCTTCTCAGTCTACACCTGCAATGTTCATCAGTCATACCAACAATCTGAACTATTTTATGTAAAAGACTACCTATATTCACTGAGAAATACCAGAAACTGAAGCAAGTTTCCAATAAAATAATGAAATTAAATTCTACGTAGCTAGGAGCAGCACACGTTGGATTTCAGAACTTCATATCTCCATGGTTATGGCCAATATAATTTCATAGTTTTCAGTGTATGTGAAACTCAGGAGCTATTCAAAAACATAAATTACAATTCCAGGAGGTAAAATGAAATATCTATTAATTGTATGCATCGAAGTTTGTATTCTATAAAGGAGTATGTGCTACAGAAATATAAGCCTGTTACCTGACATATGGTTGTCTTATTGGGAACCAGTGCTATGCAGCTATTGAAAGAAATGTTCTGTTCTCAATCGTATACAAATGCATTTTTTTTAATTGGCCTTGGTCTTCAGAGAAGTCTAGCTTAAATTCTGTTTTTCATTAATGCTGAATGCCAGGAAAAGAAGCCAGGATCTAACCCCACAATGCCATTGTTGTGCAATTTGAAAAGATTTGCTGGTCTGTACTGTAAGCTCCCTGGGACAAAGTCTGTCTTTCCAGTGGTTGCAGACCGTGTGCAAAACAATAGAAACAATGCTGAAATATAATAAATGTTTAACAGTATTCACAGTGCCAGTAGATTCAGTTATGGTCCATGTAATTGCAAAGTGTGTCCAGATGCTGCAATGATGCATACCTTGCAAATACATATAATGATAAACAGATAGTAAAGGTTGAATTAAAAAAGTTGATGGTTTTGGCCTTGTTGCTGGTTGACAGTTATGGAGTGTATGTGAAATAAACCACTACCATGATTAGCACTGATTGGCAGTCTACCATCTCAAAGGGGATCCAAGATGTTGATTCTCTCATGTCTAGGAATGACCCTTGGGCAAATTTTAAAGTGTGGGCATATTGGTTTGATAAAGCATTAATGAGTAATACACATAGGATTTTGTTTATGCCAATTAATTAATAATTTCAACTTTGCTAACAGTGCAGGCTTTTTTTTCCCCAAAATATAAAGGACAAGTGCTTGTGAAATAAATACGTAAGGATGGCAGATCCAATCCAAATCTAGCCACAGCTTTATTGAGAATCTAAAAGAGAATATAGGCTTTATTCTGAATTTGTCATTAACTTGTTTGTTCATAAAATGATGTCTCAAGTCCCAGGCACTGCACAGATTGTCTTCCAAGACCAGAGACACATCCACCCTGTAAAAAGCTGGTTACTTCTATTTTACTATATAAAACCATTTGATCTAAAATAATGGGAATACAGTGTAGTTGTAGTCTGTAGACAAGAGATATCTTGTCTATGTCAAAAGATTTCTTGTTTCTTAAATCTTCACATCTTTTCGTAAGAATGTTTGTAATTTTTCTTTTACCCATTCTGAAACTACATATCGCAGGGTTTCCACAAGGGGCTGAAGTATTTCCTTAATGTTAAATGTGAAAGATAATGCTTCATGAAAATGTAGGGAACTTTAAAACAAAGTTAATGATTTTTTTTTTCTAGAGATCCTCAAGATTTTGAGATGGAAGGTACAATGACAATTCAAGATACTAGTGACAGGCACTTGGTAGTATTCCCCCACTTAATGGATTGTTTTGAATTACAGAATAAACAGACCTGTTTGAATTAAAAGTAAGGGCACTCCTGATATAGGAATGTGTCTTTCTTTTAGAACTGGACAATGACATGGAAGAGTCTGTTAAACTGGAAAACAGTTTAGTTAAACTGGATAAAGTCTGTTATAAATGGAGCTAGAAGATAGCTGAATGATACCTGAGAGAAAAAGGAAGTTGAGCTACAAGAGTAACTGAGGCACTTCGTTGAATATTCTTACATCCTAGCACAGTACTTACTTGAGTGAAAAAATTCCCAAAGCTCTACTGCTCATGCACAGCCGTGCCATCTCTAAATCAGTAGTTGCCCATAGCAACCTGCTCAGGAGTACTTCTGTCAAATGCTCTTTCTTGTTTGATGTGCACTGAGGCCCTTCTGAGGACCTGAAATATGGAATTACTTTTTTGAACGTGTGTGACACAACAGAATGCATTATGACTGTGTAGTTCAAAACTTGGCACTAGTGCCTGCTCTTTTTCCAAAGTCAAGTGTAAATTCTTAGGGTCCTATTAATGAAAAATCCATTCCATGGCTGGGTTGCAGAAAAAGGCAGGCCTCAAATTATAAGCAGGATCTGTTATAAAAGCCATGTGTTCATATAAAAATATGATGGAATATGGGCACAGAAAATTACATGGGGATTTCACTAGATGCAAAGGGATTCCTGGTATGCACATAAATTTATACATTGTAGAGACACAATGCAAAGGGTCAGGAGGCTGTAAATATGTTTTCTTGCTGCATAAAGTAGAGAGGTAAACAATGACATGTCAAAATCTCTAAAACTCAAGGCTGAGGCCGATCTACAGCTTGAAGTAGGCGTATGGGACAGCCAAATGCAACTGCCCATGCATGGACAGTAAAACTAATTATGAAAGGTAAAGTGCATGATACTTACCAAGACTTGCCTTTTATGCAAATATGTCACTTTTTAAAGAGTAAATCCAATCTCCCTTTTTTAATATACCAGTCATTCCTTGAACAAACTGGGGGTCTGTTAATAGTTTATATACTTTATATATATGTACATTTGAGGTAGGGCATGGCTGATTACACTAATTACATTCAGAAAGACAGTTATGCAATCTTAAAATATAAATGTGTAATAGAACTAAGGAAATAATATTCTTCATTTTCCCAATTATCTTGACATACTCACTGAGAATGAAATTTAACATTCTCACTTTAATGTTGTCACTTATTTATCATAGTTCTGGAAAAGTTTCCATCAGAAAATATTACTGCATTAATATGCCTAGTCTGTAGTAGCATATATTACTTTATTAATATGTATAGTCTTAGCCAAATTATGCAAAGCAGATCATTCTCTTTTTTTTTTATAATATATTTTATTTTATATAAAGCTCTGCTCTTTCTTTTGGAGACACTTTGGGCTATAACAAAGTGTTTTGTTTTTTTTTTTTTCTTTTCTGTCTTCTTTGTCATCTTCATTGTCTTCATCTTTCACTTCTTGGTCATGAAGCACTGGCAGAGATTGTCCAGAGAGGATATGGATGCCTCATCCCTGGGGACACTCACGGTCAGGTTAGACAGGACTCTGGGCAACCTGATGTAGCTGTAGGTAATCCTCTTCATTCCAGGAGAGCTGGAGTAGATGGCCTTTTAGGGGTCCCTTCCAGCTCTAAGGTTTCTATGATAATTTATGTGATGAAGAGAGATAGGACTGAAGAAGAGATTACATGTGTTTTCCACTAAATGGAGTTGCAGCATGGTTGGAAACCATGGACTTTTCTTTCATGTGTGTTAAAGAATATATGTACATCTGTGTTTATTTTTGCCTCAAACACAAGGCATTAACATCTGAACCATCTATGAAATTGATTTTGCTCATTTTTAGTTTTCAGGACAGTAGGCCTGCACATTCTGTGCTAGAATCCATAGATATTTTAGGTATGGCTCTTAGTACAACATATTCTGTTCTGAAAACAGAGTATTGTGCTATTGTTGTCAGGAGGTCCTAAGTGGGAAACAAAACAAATAAATCAATTATGATATTAAAAAAAATAGAAAAACAAAGCAAACAAAATGACTCTTCTCCTTCAATCATGATTTATTAATGAAAACAGCTACAGACAGTTAATAATGTAACATCTGGATTTAATGAAGAAAAGCACAGCCAAATATTCTTTTTCTCAGGGTTTAAATGGAGTAATTCATCTGTACTTTAACAAAAGTTTTTAGTTCCACACGAAGAGGTGGACAACCATTTGATCAGACATAACTGAAATTGTTTCAGTCAGTTAAACTGCTCAATACTTTCCTATGTTATCTTAAGGAAGAAAAGTACAGTACAGCCTGTGTTGTCATTTTGACATTAGGAAATGTATCTCTCTACTTACAAGATGTTTCATATAGTAAATTTGTATATAAGTATTTATGAATCTATTATATGCCAGTAAAGTAATATACTTACATTAATGTGGAAGTAGCATCAAAATAAATTAAAATCATAAATAATAGAAAGTCTGTGCTGAATCAAAAGGCTAGGGTATTCTTCACAGCTCATTTTAAAAGCAGATGCTCCTGTCTAATGTAACAGTTTATGTTTAAATTTCTGAGTGGGCATTCCCTGTTTTCAACTGGAAGCTAGGATATTTAGTAATGCCTATTATCATTAACTGTCCAGATTTTGTTGAATGTGCATTAGTAGAAGCAGGAGGACCTGTACTTAGGAAAAAAGCTCAATAGGATTTTCTTTCTGGCATGCATATAATATTTCAGTACCTCTAAGTCTTTCAAGAAGGCTCACAGAAGTCAATATTACAACTGATATTTAAAGTGAAAAACATGTGTGATAGTTTGTAGACCCAGAATCTTTGATTTTAATTCTTTCAAGCAGTGTCTTAACTCTTAGTATCATACAGCTAGCAAGATGCTTTGGTTTTGCTGGTTTTTTTTTCACTTAAGCAAGCTATTATTCTTCTAAAGAGCTTGTGAATTGGTCTAGCATCACTGCTAAGCAACACATAACAGATTATCAGGCCCTACTGTGGGCTTTTCCCAATTTAGGATTTGCAGTTAAATTTCGGTGACACAAGTAAACACACAAATAATCCACGAACCATTCAGCAGAAAAACCTTGATGGAGGGGTTTCTTTTAAAAACAACAATAAAATGTTTCAAGTGTATGTCAGATATTTATGGAGTTGTTAGCAGCTAATCACTGAAGAAAAGCTGGACAACTGCAAATAAAACAATGTTAGCTGAAGAAGAATTTAAACAATGAAAACATGGCTGATGTCTTCTTCATGCAAGTCTTTATTGACTTCTTCACAGCCTCATACTCCTTTCTGCTACTGAAGACCTCTTACAACTGGAGACCAATGATTTCTGAAGGAGATAGACCTAGTAATTGTTTTTAGTTTCTCTGCAACTTAAACTGACACATTTTGTTTTCACGCGAGAAATTTGCATAAAAAGTTCACAACTATACATGAAAAATAAATCTGTAAGACATAACTGTGTTCATAATTGGCACAGATCTTCCTAAGCATTATTCATTTTCTTTATAAAACAAATCTGTAGGTTAAAAAGAAATCTAATGAAAAAAGTACTTTCGTCTTTAGTTTAGTTTCTAAGTGTTGTAAAGCAATCAAACAAAACAATGGTAAATCTAAAAAGTGTAATATTTATATCCAACTACATAAAAAATTAGATGGGCTGAATACTGACTCGATAGAATCATGAAATCATAGAATTATAGAAATTTTGAGTTGGAAGGGACCTTTAAAGGTCACCTAGTCCAACTCCCCTGCAAAGAACAGGGACATTGACAGCTAAATCGGATTGCTCAGAGCCTGGTCCAGTTTTATCTTTTTTACATTTTCTAAATGTTTTCCATAATGGCACACAAGACAAAAATTATTCATTGATTAATAAGTGGAATCTAGCATGCATTTAGCCGGCCTTTTTCATGAGTTTTATTAATTAGAAAGGTTCGTATTTATTTATATTATATTTAGCTTCGCCCATAACCTATTGTGTGATCTTGGGTATTGCCCAACAGCAATTTTTTTCTTTTTTTTTTTTTTTTTTTTTTTCCCAGAAGTGACAACTAAGTCTGCTAGTTGAAGTTTTTCTACTATATTGGAAGTGTCTGCAACTTGGTGTTCAGTACAACTAAATAGAAGACTGTAGACATGAGTAGGATCTAACATGAGCTACTACTATTCAAATTAATGTGTTCAAGTGTTCCTTGTTCCCAAAACAGCATTTTACTGAATTTCCTGAACTTATATTTTACTTCCTTTGTCATATATTTTTTGTAAATGATATCAAAATATGTGAAAGATCAGATTTTTCTATTGAAAATACACTAAATCACTGAAATGATGCAATGGGCAGGATAGGTTAGCTGCTACCACTGCTTAGGGACCTGATCATCACAGGTACTCCCAAGAAAGTACCTTGATGAGTTTCCAGAGGCATTTGACTTAATATTACAATGCCTTATAATCACAGCTGTTTCTGTAGCAAGAAACAGTGGTGTCATTTTCAGCCCTGACTGCTTTGAAGAATTAAATTAAGAGTGGCAGGTATTTTAGTGAGAGCTTAGCCAATTACGTATCTGGAGATGTAATGAAGCCCTGAAATATTTCTTCCTCGGGGGACGTGAGAGTGCTGGCTATTACAATAGCTTAGTTCTTTCTTGCTTGACAGTTAAAAGGCTTTTTTTAAATAACAGCAGGAAGTCAAGAGCTATTCTAGGCACTCCTTTCCTTTCAGAATGCCGGATGTCCTGGCACAGGAGTGAGGCTTTGAAACCTTCTCCTGTTTCTTCAACACCTGATGATGATTGTTTGACTGGAGATTTACAGCAGACTTGAATCCCAAAGCTTTTAAACAGCTGAATTATAGGAGTCTGAAATGGTGCTGGCTTCACCACAGTGATACTGCTATCACCATCTGAAGTCTTTCTACATTCCAGCAGTCAAATGTTGCTACCACTGAAAACACCAAAACAACTTAAAGAAAAAGCAGTTTATAGGGCTTATCCTCCAGACGTGTTTGTGTACGCCTGAACTCCAACCACATCAGTAACGTTATTAGCTTTAGTGTAATCTTTCCTGCAATAGTTTATCTCATGTGTAAGAATTTGCATGATGAAGGCCTCAGTTATCTCCAAGGGGAAGCAGCCAAGGAAGCAATGAACAGGGAGGAAAGGAGATTTCCCCTCCAGTTCTTATAGATGGCCCCTTCCAGTCAGGATTGAGAAGACCTTATGGAGCCAGAGAGTATGTAGGAGTACATCTGCAAAACATCTGTTGCCTATGCAGTGTTTTCTTTCATAGAGTATGAGAATCATAGAGCAGCTAAGACTGCCTAGTCCAAACTCTCTGCTTGAGCAGGGCCAGCTAGAGGAGGCCACTCAAAGCAATGTCCAATCAGATATTTTTGAACTCCAAGTGGGAACATCCAACAATTCCTCTGGGCAACTTGTGCCATTCTTTGATCATCTTCACATTGAAGGACACGGAGGTCCTAAACTGCACATAGAAATGTAGGCTACCA